GTGAGCTGATTTTTTTTTTTTTTTTTTTTTATTTTACAATAAGAAAATTAGAATTTTGTAGAGCATAAAAGTCATTAAAACACATTTCAAATGTCGGGAAAGCTCATTTCCCGCCATCTACGAATCGAAATTTTCCTGGGGGAGAACCCCCGGATCACCCTTTCTTTTTGGGATTTACCGATTCATGGAAAAATACACATGCAACTACTCATTTATTTATGTATGTATACACACATAAAATAAAAAATGAGAAAAATTTACCTGACCGTTTTCAAGAGGGGAAAACCTTGAATTTTGAAGAACTTAAAAAGTCATTTAAAAGACATTTCAGAAGTCAGGTAAGCTCATTTCCCGCATTCTAGAAATCGAAATTTTCCCGGGGGAGCCCGGACCCCCTTCTTTGGTGGTCATTGATTCATTGAATCATTTTCAAGAGGGGGAAAACCTTGAATTTTAAAGAAATTAAGTAATTAAATTAAAAATCGTATCCAACTACTTAATTTTTTTTTATGTACGGCATGTATACACACAAGGCCTATTTCCTGTAATAACAAGTGGAAAAATTTACCTGACCATTTTCAAGAGAGGAAACCTTCAATTTTGAAGAACTTAAATTAAAATCGCTAAAACATACTTCAGAAATCGGGAAAGCTCATTTCCCATCATTTTCCTGGCAAGAACCCGAACCTCCCTTTTCTCTTTGGGTTCATTGATTCATTATAATAATTTTCAAGAGGGGAAAACCTTGAACTTAAAAGTCGGGAAAGCTCATTTCCCGCCTTCTTGGAATCAAAATTTTCCCGGGGGAGAACCCCCTTTCTTTTTGGGATTTATGGATTCATGGAAAAAAATCGTATGCAACTACTCAATTATTTTTTTTTATCATGTATGTATACACACATAAGGTCTAGGCCTATCTACTGTAATAACAATGGGATAAATTTACCTGACCGTTTTCAAGAGGGGAAAATCTTGAATTTTGAAGAACTTAAAAGTAATTAAAAGACACCTCAGAAGTCGGGAAAACTCATTTCCCGCCTTCTAGGAATCAGCATTTTCCCGGGGCAGAACCACCGGGACCCCCTTGCTTTTTGGGATTTATGGATTCATGGAAAAAAAAATCATATGCAACTGCTCAATTTTTTTTTTATATATGTATACACACATAAGAGGCATGTTGTGGCAAAATGGCTAAGTTGTAGCAAAAATTGAAATTCAAGTTATTGGTATTTTCAGATACCTGAGTATGTGATCTTTAAAATGAGGGGTCATTCATTGAAATTGGACATTTTAAGCCTAAGTTGTTGGAAAGTGAAAGTACAGTACTCATAGAATCAAGATAAACATGATTTTAAGTAATTGCCTTTCAAAGTTATTTGTGCATACATTGTTTAATAGAATGGACTATCAAAATAACGTTAAATAAACAACTTGTTGACCACTTCCAGAACTAATACTTTGGTATATGATTAATAAGACATTAAACTGTTGATCTATAGTGAAAAACAAATTTGGATTTTTATGCAATTTTTTGAGCTCCCATATTTTATAGCTCAATTACTCAATACTGGCCTGTGCGACAACTTAACCATTTTGCCACCACATGCCTCATAAGGTCTAGGCCTATCTACTGTAATAACAATGGGATAAATTTACCTGACCGTTTTCAAGAGGGGAAAATCTTGAATTTTGAAAAACTTAAAAGTAATTAAGACAACTCAGAAGTCGAAAAAGCTAATTTCCCGCCATCTATGAATCAAAATTTTACCCCGGACCCCCCTTCCCCTTTCTTTGGAGCTTATCAATTCATCAAAAAAAGAATACGTATGCAACTACTACTTTTTTTATGTATGTATACACACATAACAGGCCTACTGTAATGAGAATGAGAAAGTTTACTTGAATTTTGAAGAACAAAGTCATTAGACACCCAGCTCAAAAGTCGAGAAAGATAATTTCCCACCATCTAGAAATCAAAATTTTCCCGGGGGAAGACCCCCGGATCCCCTTTCCTTTTTGGAAAAAATGTTGACCCCATCCCTAGCCTAGGTTTGATTCCAGATCTGCATGATTCATATTCCCATTCATCTTACAAGTGGGCCCCCCCAACTTTGAAAAACGTTCCGCCGGCCCTGTATAGTAATGTTTTTTTTCCAAGGAAAAAAAACCCTAACCATAGCCAGGTTTGACCAATACATGTTTTTTTGTTTTTTTGCCTTACACTGTATCATTAAGTTTTATGAAATTAAGTAAAATTAAACAAACGTTACTCCGAATAAAGAAAGGGAGGCCATGTTTCTGAATCATGGCCTCCCTTTCTTTATTCGAAGTAATGTTTGTTCTATGTTATTTAAATGTAATAACATACATGTTCCATTTTTGTAAATATGATAATGAAAAGCAATATAAACACATATAAAATGGAATTTCTATTCATGAAAGTAGCACTTATGTAGGCTTACATTCTGCTTCGACCCCTGTTGAGTACCACCAGTCTTGAATACTGAACTGAACAAGAAATCTGCAAGAATTTAAAAAAAATATACATTTTTCTTCTAATTGTTTAGTGTTGTAAAGTTATTAGCATAAAAGTCTCATCAATTGTAAACACAGTTGGGGCAGTGATTGTGGCTTGGACTCTCAAACTTGAGGTCAGGGGTTTGAAACTCTCGCTGTTCAATCACTTTGTCAATGTTTTGTCTCACACCACCCAAGAGTATAATAAATCATTAGCATTATTATTAATGCTCTATGATTTGGAATTAATGGAATTCATATGTTTGTGCATGGCAGTATCCTACAATCTGCCCCTCTCCCATTCATTATTTTCACTCTATCTTGAGAGATGGTGACAGACAAGAAGCATATCTGGATCTGGATAATGGTTGAGTCTGCAGATTTCTTTAAAACTTATCGAAGTTAAAATACACTTACATGACCACCTGATGGAACCACCATGCAACCAATGTAGTCAATGAGAAGAAAGGCTAAATAGAAAAAAAAATAGATGCATTATTTTGATCCTTTACAAACCCACCATTTAAAGACTGGAATCAATTTTTAAAAAGTATATAAATCATCGTGGTTGTAGATGTTGGTTTTTTTCTGTTGTTACAAAAGTGATTTCAAAATAAATTATTAAATATTTCCAATATTTTTTTTTTGCAGTTATACAAAAATTAATATAAAATAAGCTTGATCTTCATTGTAAGGTACTAAATAAATTCATCTTAGTTGATTCTATTGATTACTTTTAGAACTTCAATTCATAAAAACTCATTTATTCATATTATAATATTTTTTGAGCTTGATAAAAACATAGAAAAGTAAAATAATTATTTTACATTCCAAGCATAGTGATACTAACAAAACTAATTGTGAATGTTGGTTAATGAACCATATATTGTAATTGTTGTAGAATTAAGCCCTTTATCTGCTGAATTTGGGACCTCTTTTTCCAGCCAAAGAACCAAGAAATGCCTGAAACAACATTTGGCCTAATAATTAAACCTACTACAAACTGAAAAACTGACAAATATTTTTATTAATTTTAAAAATATTTTTTACAAATTTACAAAATTAACTAAATATTGTTGTGACATAGCATCTGAGGTTTCAACTCACATCAAGAATGGTAGATCCGGCACTTGAGAATTTTTCAGTTTCTGAACACATTCCTTGATAGTCTACCAATGTAAATCTATAAAGAACAACAATTATAAAATGGGATTATAAGTTGATGAATGGATAGACATACGTAAGTACACTACAATGCTCATCATTCAATTGGCTGTGGAACTGGCAACCACAAGATTTCTCCAAACACCATGATCCATGGCAAGAGTGACAATTTTTTATCTGGCTGTAGCATATGCCTTCAGTATCCCCAATAGTATCTGTATGTATGTATGATGTCCTTTGTCTACCAGGCCTTCACTTTTCATGTGGAGGCGTGTACTGCATATATTCAACTTTGTTCTTCTGACACCCTGAGTTTATGTCCTATGAACGGTAATTGTCATAACTGAACAAGATTTATAAGAGGCTTCATGTTGATAAGTGCATAAATTTTGGCATTGATTGATTGACTTGGTTGACAAGTTTAATAAAAAAGCTAGGATGTGAATTTAGTTTTGTTAGGGTGGAGATGTGGGTGAATGTCTGTCCCTTGAATGAAGTTCTGCCTGGGAGGTTTATGCAGATTAAAGCTACGTTCACACCAAAGCCCGGATCCATCCGGTGCCCAGACAAAAAACGGGTTCAGAATAGGAGCATTCACATCAAATTCATACTATTTCCAATCCGGACTCCGGATCTGGACCGATAAATCTGAGAGCCATTTGTATCGTAAAAATCATACGTTTTTTTCCTTGGACCAATCAGCAACAAGCTTGGTTGGTTTGAACCAATCGAACATATACATATATACTTAAACCGAATAAACGTGTTCCGTGTGCGATGTGAACGCAGCGTACAAAAAATTTAGCAACCCACTATTTTTTTTCCGGGCTTCGGACATGGATCTAGGCTTAATGTGAATGTAGCCTAATAGTAACCATTTACAGAGCAGGACCTTACATGCCGGGTGATTTCCTTACCGACAGAATGCATAGTTCATAGTCTTACAACTAAAACTACAACAGGGCAGCTCCAGTACCAATATGTAACAGATATATTTTCCCTTATCCCACCTAGCTCTCATGTGATGGTTATCAGAGAGCCGAGTGATGAGACTTATATAAATTAAGTCCTTTAAGTTTTATAATATACATGTAATGAACACTATGAAGAAGATGTTGTGTGTATTGTAACAATATCTCAACCATTTACTACCCATATACATATACTACTAAATTAAACAACTATGTAATGTTATAAAATTTGCCGTATATCTTACTTTTCATACACAGAAACATTCACCAGTTCTGTCATTAGTCTCAAGTATGCTTTGCCAAAGTGCTGTCCAACCTACAAGAACAATTTGAGAGGAAGTTCAAGATATAGATTTATTGATATTTGTTTTGAATTAAATTTATCTTTTCCTTTTTAATTGAAATTTGCAATATCATTTTGTATTAATCGGTGCTTATTGTACTTTGGTAATATTTATATACTTCATGTGTGTTTGGTTTTCACAAGATGCATTCTGCTAATTAAGATGAATCACCTACAAATAGCAACCATCAAAATATGTTTTAAAGCTTTTAAATATTTGTAAAAATTTAATTATATATGATAGACAAAAAAACATTTAAGTTCAAAAGTATTCTATTATGTAGAGTTTTTATGTTGAGTTTTCTTCATTTTTTAGTCTAAATTTCACTTATGTATTGTCCTTATTAGCATGTCTGCATTTGTAATATGAATTTTTTTTAAAGGAGATTAATAAATAAAATCTACATCCATTAAAATGTTAAGAATATTAAAATGTGTACCAAAATTATTTGACTCTTTTTCATTTTTTAGAGCCAGATGAAATTTTATCAAGACATACTAAATTACCTCATTCTCATCTTCTGAAAACATTATATATGCATTCTCATCAAGAAGCAGACAATCAACATTCTGAAAATAAAACAATAAAACAAATAATATAAACAATTACCAAGTTCTATCAAATACTGTAATGGTTATACATTAATGCCATTTACAGACATATGAAGTAAAGTAACAAAGTTCACATTATAGTGGTCTACCTCATTATCACAAATTGTGTTGCCAACCAGATTTGTAGCAAAGCTACTCCACAACATTTGATATCCAAGAGCTGTAGAAAAATAAAATGTAATATCGTCAGTATTGGGCCTATTGTTTTCTGAGCAAACAAGTTTTGATATACCATGTAAATAATAAACACATTCATTTTGTTGGTGGGTGATGGGTGCCACATTTTAGACCAGGAGTTGCAATCCCCTACTCTTTTGGTATCCTTCTTGCACTCTGCAATGCTTTCCATCAAAGAGTAAAATAAATTTAAGCATTCACATCATCTATGTTGTACACAAAGGATCAGCAATGAACACACAAGGTTCCATGCAGAGATTAAAGTTTTTATTTATGAACTTTAAATTGTACAAAAACCTGTGTTTACCTGCAACTACTGTGGGCCCAATATCATCTTTAGTAAAAGTAAGAATTGTACTAGCTGTAACTTTCAAAGTGGAGTTTGGATCTGAAAAAGAAACCATCAATAATTAATTCAGTTATAATGCATCTGAATTTATAATGATCAGTGGCATAACGGCTTGTCATGGGACCTGGGGTTGGGGTGGGGCGAGAAAATGTTGGGGCCCTTGCTTACTGTATCAAAACTGACAAGGGTGGGTAATCTCTTATAGAGACAATTTTTCTAAGATTGAAAAGACTAATTATTAGACAGCTTTACAATGTCATCAACCAATATTTTGCACACACATTTTTAATTTGAATATTTGCATGCAACGTATACATTGTGTGTATGCATAAATCATCATTTGTGTACGTGCAATTCATTTAGCGAGCATAGGTTACATGCTTAATCATGATTGTATTGATCAAAGTTCCAATGAAACTTTTTGATTTGATTTGATATCTTTCTTAATTCTGGATATCTCATTCAATACATATTTTCATAGTGTTAACAGAGTTTATTATGAGGTCTCCAATGTGGTCCACATTTGAAACTTGAATCAGCACTGCGGCACAAATTTTTGGAGGCCTTAGTAAGTGGCTTACTCGAGAGCGGTGCTTATTCAAGAGAGGCGCTTATAAAGCAATATTGGCGTGGCGCTTTCCATGCCCATTTCCATGTTAACTATCTCACATATTCAGTAGGCCTTTCATAGGTCCTACGTCATCATAAGACATGCTTGTGTCTTCATTGTGTTATTTATTCATTTCAACACTGCATACATTATATTTAAAACCGTTTGTCAAAGTGTTTCATTACACATAGGGTAATACTCTTAATTAAGCGCTGTGGTGCTTATTCGAGAGCGACACATAGGGAAAAAACCAGGTTTTGTGTGGCACTTATTCGAGAACAGCGCTTATTTGCGGCATCTATGGTATATAATTAAAACACAGACAAGGAAAAACATAAATAAAATAATACACAGAAATTAGGTGAAAATAATATGATTTTTAAGTACTGTAAGTCTACATTTATCTCGAGCATTTCTAAACAAGCATGCCTTCGCACGTCGCATGGCCCCTTCCCAGATTTAATTACCTAAATCTGCCCCTGGTTACATTTTATAATGAACCATTCCAGCACAACTCTATAACGCTATGAAAATTCCAAGACGGACAAAAATTTACATTTTCCATAATAATTGTAGGCCTACTTTGTGTTGTCTAATAGGCTTGAAAATACCAAAAAGACAGTTAAGTAATCAAATTGATTGATTGTTCATATAAAGTGTCACTTCAATACCAAAATTCAGAGATGGACAAAAATTTACATTCCCCATAATAATTGTAGGCCTACTTCATGTCGTCTAATAGGCTTGAAAATAGTAAAAGACAGTTTTAGGTGATCAAAATTGATTGATTGTTTTAATAAATTATTTTGCTCTGAATAAAACGACCATCATTCTTATGGTTCAATTGATGGTATTTTCTTTATCATAGAAATATTCAAATTATAGGCATATATACATTCTTTTAATCAATTTTAGCATGTTATGTCTTCACATACATTTAATTTAAATAGGCCTACTATGATAGGTAATCATGTGTTTAATTCTTTATTTATTACCTTGTTATATGGCGGAGGTGGATTGTAGGGTGAGTGAAAATGTAGCCAACGAGGGCCCCATACATTATTTAAAATTAAACCAAAATTTACCGTATTGTCAAATGCATCATATGGCCCTGTGGCCTCTCCAAGGCTTTGGACTTGGAACTGGGTGTTTCCCCAGAAAGCACACAAGCATTACGTAACATAACTAGTCAAAGCCCCATTGTAAAATGCATAGTAGGAGGGGCCCCTTCTAATAAATCTGCCAAAGAATGTGTTTGTGGGATTTTGGTCTATTTGGTTTTTTCGAAAATTATAGAAAAAGTTACCATATTGTCAAGGCACTGTGGGGCCCATTTGGACTTGCAGTGACCCCCACCCCCAAGGCTCATTAGTAAAGTGCTAGGTAGTAGTATGAGGCCCCTTTTTGAGTGGAGATCCGGGCCAGCACCCCCAAGAGCTTACGGGTGATGCCACTGATAATGATGATGATGTTGTTGTGTTGTCATCTACAATCAACCAAAATTGTAAAAATCAGATCAAGTATCTTGATTATACAGTTAAAATTACATTTCAACACAATAAGTAAACATACAATATTTAATAGTACAAGAAAAATGCTGATGTTTTACAGGTAAAGAGACATTCTCGCTATCCTCCAAGCCCTGCAGCGGCTGCATAAATCACTACCCAAATGTGAAATCATTTTGGTAAGCGATATTAATCACGGAAACTCTTCCTTGCGCTTCTACCCTGGAAAAAATCTGCATCTGCCAATGCTGTGAGTAAGGAGACACTCCTACTAGTAACACCTGACAGCCAACCCCCTCCCCCATTAATTTGTTCCCTGCTACACCATTGGTGCACATCAGGTCTAGTCACTATTTTAAAACTTAAAATTAATCATTGTGCAAGGTACCTTGAATTACATGAAATCAAGCAGTTTTTGGTTCAGTTCCCCAAATCAAGAAATGTAGGTGCCAAAGTGCTTCTGACTTCAAAATTGTGGTAAGATATGCATTCATGCTTTTGATTGTCACAACATTCTGTCCCACATGTGATAAGCTATCATACAGTATGATGCATTATTTATTGCTGCGAAGCAGCCAATTCATATTCTTGACAGCAATTTGACTAATGAAAGGTCATTGTTTGTCAAATAATAATAATAATAATAATTCTGGATTTATATAGCGCCTCACATTGACATAACCTTGAGGCGCTACAACAACAGAGAAGAATAAAAATTAATTAAGTTCAAATGATTGGTTTGATGATTATCAATAAATGTTATTATTACGATGCTTTGGTAATAGGAATCATTTCAAGGCCTGTTACTTTCCTATTCATCCCAAATCCTTTCATTAAAGACAAGAGTCTTACTCCAGCCTCTTTAGCTCATTAAAAAAAAAAAATTGTTGTAGTCACAACAAAAATACAAAAAAAAACTAAAATGCCGAACATCAATTTCGTACATTTTGGGTCGGTCAGGCGTGGCCAACACAATAATATTTTTATCTTTCCTTTCATTTTCTTTCTTATAATTCGTATCTGTCTTTCAAATTTCATTCTTATATTTCTTATCATTTCTTTTCTTTTCATTTCTAATGTTTCCATGTCTATCTTTCCTTTCTTTTCTCTTCTCATATTTCCTTATCTTTCCTTTTTCCTGTCAAATGGAATACAAATATTGAATTTTTGTTCTTACCTTCACTGGGATTTATATAGCGCCTCACGTTGACACAACCTCGAGGCGCTACAACAACAGAGAAGAATAAAAATTAATTAAGTTCAAATGATTGGTTTGATGATTATCAATAAATGTTATTATTACAATGCTTTGGTAATTGGAATCATTTCAAGGCCTGTTACTTTCTTATTCATCCCAAATCCTTTCATTTTTCTTTCCCTTTTGCTTCTTCTCTTTCTTCCTTTCCCTTCAAATGTTCCTGATCTTTACTTTTCTTGTCCTTTCTTATGTTTCCTTATCTTATCTTTCACATTCCTTTCTTAGATTCCTTATCTTTCCTTTCATTTTCTTTCTTATAATTAGTACTGTATCTGTCTTTAAAATTTCATTCTTATATTTCTTATCATTTCTTTTCTTTTCCTTTCTAATGTTTCCATGTCTATCTTTCCTTTCTTTTCTCTTCTCATGTTTCCTTATCTTTCCTTTTCCTTATTCATCCTTAGTTTATCTTCTGTCTCTTATATTTCTTATCTTTCTTTCCATTTACCTTCTTATGATTCCAAATTCATTGCTTTCCTTTCCTTTCTTATGTTCCTTATCATTCTTACTGTTATCTTTCTTATGTTTCCTTATCTTTTCTTTCCTTTTCTTTTCTCAAAAAACAAGGGTCTAAGACCACTGAAAAGCGGAGTTTCCTTCTTTCGTTCTGCCGGGTAAAACCAATTACTTTAGGCAACGTTTGTAGACTAACCAACACGTACCAACGTCCGCATGTCACATTAGCCTTATCCTACTCTAGGCCTAGACTAGCTAGGATGGTATAGGCCTAGCCTTGAAAGGACGAAGGTCCCAATGAAAAACAACGTCGCTCCTTGATAGCTAACATTGTCTATTTAACATCACAATAATTCATTATTAGACCTATAGTTGTTTTTGAATTGTACTCCACAAATCTCAGCAGATAGCTCGCACAACTCGAGTAATGTCTCGTATCTATTGTCGTGACATCATGGCTCGCTGGCTCACACTTGCGACGTCTCGCACTTGTGATCAAATAACACGCTGGCTCGCAATTTGGCAACACTCTTTGGCAGTCAACTCGCCCCTAGAAAACCCGCCCTTGGAAACTTGCCCCATAAAAAAATGTACACTTCGTAGACCATGCAGTCTTCAAAATAAAAATTGTAACCTTTGGTAATCAACTACATTTTCCACATGCATAGAAATTTTTGAAACTTTATTAAAAAAAAACCTAAACCATATTACCACTATAGACACTTTTTGACAAAAATGAAAAATTACGACTTTGTTACCCAATGAGAAGTGTTCAAATACAGATAATGGTTCGTGTCTCATATTATTTGTTATATTTTTATTATTAATTATTTTCACTTGACTCGCATAAATAATTTTGTTCGAGGAATATTTATATGCAGTTGTACTTCGCAGCACTTCACTTGCAATTTGCAATTTCTAGTATTAATCAAGCTGTATGATGGCATTTTTACCTCTAACATAACCATTTGTCAATAACGGTACAGAGTAAAGGATGCGATCATCTCCTAACTCCACTGCACGCCAATAATAGTCCTCTTCAATCGTCTCACTTTTAGATTTTATAAAATCATCAACATTCTCAAAATCAGGGTTGTTGTACCAGCGTGAAAGGCCTCCACGAGTTCCTAAGAAAGACATCAGGATACCATTTCTGTTGTAAATAAACCAGGAATTTAGTCATAATCATTGAATCAAATTGGTGTTTTATATTGTATTAACACGCTAATAAATTTACCTTCAAACCTAATCAATCAATCATGTTTATTAGATATTAGAATATTAGTATTTATTTTGTGAATTAATTTACACAAGTTGTATATTTAGGGTTAAAAGGGGAGGGGATTAATAGAATACTTAAGGTATTAATAGGGGTGGGTTGTGCTTAGTAGCTAGGGTTTTGTACAAATAAAACCCATGCTTTTGGATTTACACTTTAAAGAAAGAAAATTAAAATTTAAAAAAAAATCATCACATAAA